GGTCTTCAAAGGGCTGGCAGCTCTGGTTTCTGCAACAGGTTGTTAATCTTTCCATGGCCATAGGCAGCTCCCTGAGGGGGAGGGTGGGCTGCATTTCCAGGTGAGCTCCCAGGTCCCACCTGCACCTCCCAGCCCTGTTAGAATGTGCCTTCTGTAATCAGAACAAACCAGTCATGGTTAACAGAGCAGGATTAATATATCTTGCAATTCTAGCTGGGCCCCAGCATTCTATTTCTACCCCCGTCACATCCACATGGCCAAGTTCACCAGAGAGGCTTTCTCATGGGGAATCATCAGAACGTCCTGGCTTCCCAGTGGCCGCCCGCCCTGAGGTTGCTGTGACCTGGAGAAAGAAAGGACTCCTGGTCCAGGACAGTGGAGGCACGCCAGGGTGACTTACATTGTTTCACATTCTTGCAACACCAATTATCCCAGACCCGGGAGGGAGAAAGCCTCCCAACCAGTACTTTTGTCAGATTTCCCAGAGGGCCCAGCGGCACAGTTCCTTTTCCTTTTCTGCAATTATTTTCCAATTAATCTGCTCCTGGCCCAGTTTGCTTTTATTCATTTCTAGAGCCACTGCATCACACCCAAATGAGTTTCCTCTTTCTATTGTGAGCCACATTTTCTCAAAAGATTTTAAAACTTTCTGCTTCCTTTTTACCCTGTTTTGTGCGGGAAGCGTGTTGTTCAGACTCCTGCCTCCGGGAGACCTCTGCAGTTGCCAAGTGGAATGCTATTCCGTGGGTGGGAGACCTGGAGGGGTTTGGGCAGGTGTGGGAGATGGTTTCTGAGGCGCCTCCGGGGCCTTACATGTCACACTTAGTAACCTGCCCTAAGTCATCAGCAGTCATGGTAAACACAACACATCATACTAGAAACCGGGTATGGAGGCTTTATTATGTGCTATGTGCCATACACAGATCATCCTATGTAACCTCGTCACAGCCCTAAGAGAGGGCCTTAGGAACCATACTTGATTGATGAAGAAAGCAAAGAATTCTAAAATGTAAGGAAGTTGCCTGAGATCCTTCCACTTGTGAGCAGCAAAGACTGCCTGAGTCCCCAGCCCTCGCTCACTGTGCCGCGCTCTCGGACCGAGGGCCGCAGACCAGCCCCGTCGACATCATTGGGAGAGATTAGAGAGGCCGATTCTTGAGCTGCCCCCCAGGTCTACTGAACCAGACATTCAGGGAACAGGGCCCAGCATGCCGTGTTTTAACCCGCCCTCGGGGGCGTTCCGAGGGGTGCTGGAGTTAGAGAAGCTCTGTAGGCCCAAAGGCACTGCGGCTGTGGTTGGGGAACCGGGGTCTAGCTGGGACACAACTCCGGCTACCTGGCAGGGACCGTGCTTCCTGTCTCTCAGGAGGGCTGCGAATTCCCGGGGTCCCAGGGGCCCTCGAGACCTCCAGGGGCTGGGCAGTAGGCATTCCTCTGAACTCCTGGAACAGCCCCCCTTCTGGATTTCAGAAACAATACAATGGGATGGACATGCGCCTCAGAGTCAAAATGATACATAATCATACCAACCAGCGTTTCTTCCCCTTCTTACAGTTACCTCACTGAGCTCCGTAAAATGCTGTTACTACGTAGGCGAGATAGGAAACTCGGCTCCGAGAAGCGCAGTGACTAGACCTACAGTCTCCCCCATAGACACTGGGACCCAAAGCCCGGCCTTTCACTCTAACGCCAGACTCTGTCATATCAGGCAAGGCTTTAATCTTCCCAGCAAAGGGTTACTTCCTCCCTGATCGCCAAGCCACAGACTCCAGGGGAACCAGGGTGGCTACAGGGACTGGGCGTTCCTTTATAGGGTAAGCGCTGTTTGAAGCCTGAAAGTGTAACTGACACCTGTACCTTCCAAACATCAGCAGACGCTGATGTGTCTCATAGGCAGCCTCCTTTGCTAATGCACTGCCTTCATGGCAACATCTTGACGTTTCACTTTCACCAAAGTGAATGGATCCTAAAAGTAAAGCTGCTCTTGCATGCGTGCCTGAGCTGTAAACACATATACTAGTGTGACAGACGTACGCTACGCTCCCCCTTGTTCCTGAACAAGTGGGGAGTCGTCCTTCTCCCTCGTTTTCTGCGACCTCACGCTCCGCGAAGCCAGGACCAGTACTGTGATTTCTTACGATATTCTCCCCTCTCTCTCTCCAGAGGCGCGGGAAGCACCTTTTTCTTGCTCTAAATCTCTTTCGGTGCCTTTCTGGCTTCTTCTCATCTTTCTCTCCAATCGCCACGGTTCAGGAACATCAGGAAGAGAACTGGCTGGAAAGTTTGGAGAAGGGAGAGTACAGGTTGTACTGGGGACGTCAGTCACGCCGCCGGTCCTGCCCCCCGCGTTGCTCAGAGACCCAGGCCCCGCCCAGCACGGGTGCGGAGGGGCGGCAATAGCGGAGCGTCTACCAGTCCTGTGCCCCGTCCAGAGGAGCCGTCCGCGGCCAGCTGGGAACTTGTTAGAAATGCCAATTTCGGGCCCCGCCCCTGACCCGCTGACTGGCAGGCAGGTCCACCAATCATTGTGGACGTGCATCCAGTTTTGTTTTGTTTTTCTTTTGCCTGAACGTCTAATCACAGCGGATTGGAACAGAGAGGACTCAAGTGCAGCCACGCCATAGGCTGCCCGTGGGGGGCGGGGCGTGAGAAGAAGAGCCGGGTGGGCGGGGCTTCCCCGTAGTGACACCCTCAAGGGAAACAGTGGGGTCTGGGGTGTTCACTGCACGTGAACGCGGAGTGAGGAGGGGCCCGAGTGTGCGAGCCACAGGGTCACGAGCGACCTGGAAACAGGAACTGACTGTGACTGAGCAGAAGCTGTGAAGCAGAACTAAAAACAAGTCATGGAGGAGACAGCGAGGAAGGCGAACAAGGGGCGGGGAAGGACCACGAGTGCGGGACGACAGGCCCTGGGAGGTGGCAGTGCACAGGGCGCTCGCGGCAGACCCAGAGCACCTGCTGCGGACGCTCGGGTTCTGGTTCTGTTCCTGGCTGCGCCCCCGCCGCTTCGGAAATAGGACTATTCCGTGTTCTGCAGCTCCTGTTCTGCGTGTCCTTAGCACGTGTTTCTTGCTTGCATTTTCTTCACGGATCCTCCAGCCCCTTTTCTTGGCACTTTCAAGGAGGGAGAGAAGACCAAACCATCCGAGCAAGAAAAGTAGAAAAAAAGCAAACGAAAGTGAAATGAAAAGTTCTCCCTATAAGTTTCCCTCATTGGCTGCAGCACAAACTAGCGAAACGAAGAAGCCTAAATGAGTAGGCTTTCAATCAGGTGACTTCAAGGACTCTGACCAACGCCTCATGAGAGAAGCACGTGGCAAAAGGTTGCTGCTGCTCGGGACTTACCACTTTTGCTGTCTAAATACACAAGGGAAAGTTTCCAATTATTAAAAAAATACATGGGAATGCTCGTTTTATATATTAAATAGGTTGATAATTATAATAGTCAGTAGAGGCCCAGTGCATGAAATTTGTGCACTGGGGGGGGGGCAAACTGCCTTCTCACAGTCCAGGAGCCCTGGGGAGGATGTCCAGCTGAAGGCTTAGGCGCTCTAAGCCTTCAGTCAGACATCCTTAGCATTGCCACAGAGTCGGGAGAGGCTTCCACCAATGCCACTGTGCTCTCTAGCCTGAGCCCAGCTTTTGGCTGAGCGGCAGGAGCACACTGACCACCAGGGGGCAGCTCCTGCATTGAGTGTCTGCCCCCTGGTGGTCAGTGCGCATCATAGTGACCGGTCATTCCACCACTCAGTCATTTGCATATTAGCCTTTTATTATATAGGCTAACTAATAATTTTGAGCTATTCCTAGATACCAAGCAATGTTCAAAGTAGTTCACATTTTAAAAAAGATTTTAAATGTCATTTCCACAAGGACTAGAATTTCCATCTGTTTTGTTCCCTGCTGTTCCCTCAGTGCCTGGAATCGTGCTCCGCAACACTCTACTCAGTAAACACTTGTTGACTGAATTCAAATGGATCTTCGCAAACCCTTGGGTGGAGATGCTGTTCCCTGCACGGATCAGTCCCTCCTGGCATGAGGAGGGGGAGTCACACCCTAAATGTCTGCATGAGCTTCATACTGCCAGGCAGCAAGCTTCTGCTGGGACAAAGGCCCTGACCTTCAGGGTGGGTCTTATAAATGTTCTGAGCACTGTTATCTGAGGAATGTTGATGTTCAGATATTGTCTTTTCACGGTCTGAAGGTTTTTATTCTTTCGGTCATTCATTCATTCATTCATTCATTCATTCAACAAATACAGTGGGGCCTTGACTTAGGAGTGTCCCAACTAACGAGTTTTTCAAGATACGAGCCGTCTCTCGGCCGATTTTTTGCTTTGAGTTGCGAGCTAAAATTCGGGTTACGAGCCAGCTTCAGATACCCCACCGCTAGTTGGTGCAGCGAACATCACAGTGAACGCCACAACATCAGCCCGGCATCACGTGTCTCACTCGTTCACTTTAAGACTTGACATAAGAGTAATTTGAGTTACGGGCTCCGTCACGGAACGAATTAAACTCGTAAGTCTAGGCCCCGCTGTATTTACAGAGCACTTATACATACCTCGCCTTGTTCTAGAAACAGAGGATATAGCATCGAATGCTAAAATGCTGTACCTGCCCCATAGAGAGCTATGAGACCCAGTGCGGCGGGTTTAAATCTCATTTTTGACCTTGGGCAAGTCACTTAATTGCTCTGCGTACAGGGTCGTTGTGAGGACTAAATGCACTTTCAAAGAGTGAAGTGCCTAGCATGGTGCCTGGCACATAGCGAGTGCTAAGTAAACTTGATCACAATTTTTCAACCAAGAAATAATAATGAGGCGCATAGTCTGTGGAAGGCCAGGGGGATTTTTGTGGGTTTTTGTCATGTTTTGATGTCAGCAGGGCCTAGGAGCGCGGCCAAAACGAGGCAGCTGGAGAGAAGTGGCAAGCAAGTAGGAAAGTCACGTCCAAGGCGCGTCAGCCCGCGGGACCGGCCCCTTTAAGGAGGGCGGGACCACGTGACCCACGAAGTCACGTGGCGCCCGGGACAACATGGCTGCGCCCGCGCTGGGGTCGGCCGGTGGGCGCCGCGCCGCGCTCGCGCTGGTGGTCCTGCTGCCGATGCTCGCGCTGCCGGGCGGGGCGGCGGCGGGCGCGGAGGTCGGGACGGGCTCGTGCGGCTGCGGCGCCCCCCAGCGGCCCGGGGTCCCCGGCAGCGCGGCGGCCGCGCACCGCTACTCCCGGGAGGCGAACGCGCCGGGCCCGGGTGCTGCCCCGCGGCCTCCCGCGCCTGCCAAGGTGCGCTCTGGATCCCGGGCGGCGTGTGGGGTCCACGGTTCTGCGGGCGGGCGGGGGCCGGCAGGAGCAGGCGGGGGCGGGGAAAGGTGGCCGCCGCACCCACGCCGCCCCTCCCGGCCGCGCTCCTAGCGGCGTCCTCGCTGCTCCGCCGCGCTGCCGGGGCTGCGCGCCGATCGGGGGTTTACTTGGAGGCCAGCTGCCCCTCATCCTCCCCACCCCCAGTTTCCCGACCCTTCCCCTGCCTTATTAATGAATACTCAGAATTTTAAGTCACGGGTGGGGTTGAAGGGCTGGTTCCTCCCTCGTTGACTGAAGGAACCCGGCCTCCGCGTCCCTGACTTGATCGCCCGCTTGTGGGTCCCTCTTGCAGAAGCCTGAGGGCCCGGCCCTGCCGTCCCGGTGGCCCTGGCACCGCCGCGCGTGGGCCGGGAAGGGCTGGTCACCAGCAGCTGCTCTCCGGGCCAGTTCTCTGCTGATGAGCACTTAGGTGGCTTCTAATCTTCCTGTTACAAACAGAGCTGTCTAAACCGCATGGGGACGGAGCCTGGCCCTTCAGGAAGTTCGGTCGGGCTTCAGGGTGTGGGGAATGGATGAGTGAGTGGAGGGGCGAGGGCTTAGGAGCCAGGAGTGTGAGGAAGGGTGAGGCCAGACAGGGAGGCCAGTGGTGAGGCGACTGCCGTATCTGGGGTTAAAGGAGGGGGGAGGCTGGAGGGATGGACGTTTGGGAGACCAGGCAGGACCGGTGACCTCTGTTGTTGGGATCAGGGGACTGGAGTGGTCAGGCCTGATTTCTGAAGACAAGTAATAGGACGTTTATGACCCACATGTCATATCTGAACATAGTTCCATGTTTGTTGGGACACACAGGCACGGAATTGAAGGCTAGCAAAGACAGTCAGTGGAAGCACAAAGAAGGAACCCGGGGTGGTTGATAATGGGAACCAAGGAGCTGCAATCAGGAAATAATTGGGACAAGGGCATAGGGAGGAGACCTGGTCCCTTAGGCTCTTTAGACTTTCTGTCCCAGCGACTTAAGGCATTTCCATTCTCATGGGAGGCCCACATTCATTCTGTGGGTTTTTAAACACATTTCGTCTGGCATTTTTACATTTGCTTTTAACAATAATTCACGAGAAACTGGAGTGTGCTGAAGGATAAAAGCCCGCATATGCTGACGTGGAATGCTCTCCATGACCCTCCGCTCCAGTCATTGGCAGGCTGGGGCTGTAGCTAGACCCGCCTCCACCGCAGGCCCTCACGTTTACATGTAGAGTGTTGACCAGAGAAACCCCTTTTCTAAAGAGCTTGCATTTGTTGTGACTGGTCCTTCTGTTTCCTTGGTGTATTGGACAGTGATTTCCGCCCGTGGGGTTTGCTCAATCCCGGGGGCTCACTGTGTGCTGGGCGCCTTCCCCCCCTCCCCCCCTGCAGATGGTCTCCATCCCCGCCGGCGTGTTCACGATGGGCACGGATGACCCTCAGATCAAGCAGGACGGGGAGGCGCCCGCCCGGAGAGTCACCGTGGATGCCTTCTACATGGACGCCTATGAAGTCAGCAACGCCGACTTCGAGAGGTTCGTGAACGCCACCGGCTACCTGACCGAGGTAACGGGTCAGGGTGGGGAGGGACAGCTTGCTCTCCCACCACTTTTCCTGTGGGCCCGGCACTGTGCTAAGCCCTTTGCATACCTAGTGTCTAACTTAATTCTAGCAACTCCGAGAGGTAGGTGACCTTTTAGGTAGCACACTGAGGCTTAGGAGGGTGACTTGCCCTGATTCGCAGGCTGGTTGGTGGGAGCTGGGATGCCAGTGTGACTGGTGTGGCCCAGGGCCTTTGCCCTTTGCTGTTCTGCTGTACGTGTTAGTGCTTTGGTCTGCCCGCGGGGCCCCTGCCCACCGGGCCTTTTGGGATAACAAACCACGTGTCAAGTAAGGCCACTTTTCCCGCTCAGAAAATTGCAGTTTGGTTGTTTCAGAAACCTATTTCCCAAGAGACAGGTGCTGAAAGGCAGCTTTGCGTTTTCCTGGTTTATTCCAGTGCCTGGTGACTCGTAGGCGACCCCCTGGCAGGCAGGGTGGCCTCCTGCTGTGGTCTCTGGATCAGAAAGCCAGGTTCTGAGCAGGTGTGTCCTGAGAGGGAGGAGGGACAGGGAGGCTGTCCAGGGCGGGGTTACTGTGAGCGTCTCCATGGTGCTGGTCCAATAGGTGCCTGTTTTCCCTGCTCTCTCACCACAGGACGCCACCCTAGCCCTCAGCGTGTGGAGTCCCTGTCTTTTTTTAAAATTAAAAATAACTTGAGAGTGAATGCCGACAGCGAAGCAACATGCAGGTTTGGTTTCCCATTGCTGTGCTTCTTGGGCGTTTCCTAAAATGGGCAGAGCGCTTGTGTCTCTTTGTGCCTGTTTGTGGAAGCAGAGACCCCGTGCTTCCTGTGGCCCAAGGCTGCTCTCGGCCAGGTTCCTCAGCAGTGCGATGAAGCTAGCAGGCGACTGACTCCCAGGGACAGAAGCTTAGACCAGGGTTCTCCGTGAAGACGGGGGGCGCAGCATTTAGGGCGGCCAGAAACTCGGATGGGGAAGTTACTCCTGCGTCTTTTCCACCCTCTACCTGGGATCTTGCGTTTCCTTCAGTTACGGGCAGACGACCAACCACAGTATAGCAGGACCTGTGATTCTGTCGCCCACAGAAACCAGACACTGTGTCTCATTGTTGCTGTTACAGACATCGTGTCATTGTTCGCTTTCATCCCCTCCTTAGAAATGATGACTATTGGATCTGCCACGAGATCGTATTTAATATATTAATACAGACCACATGTATATTACTGTAGCACAAATGTGATGAATATTCTGATAGAACTAGTCTTTGTAATCGTACTGATTTTACTTTATCCATCCAACATGTCACCCTGAGAAGGGGTCCTGTCAGCTTCACTCTGCCCAGGGGTCCAGACGCAAGGAGGGTTAAGGACTGTTCTGGACACACTGCCTCCTGGTTTAGCCACTTCATAGTCCCCCCTCCTCCCCCCCCCCCCCAGCCCACCTCCTGCTCTCGTGGCTGCTCCTGCTTCTTTTCCTGGATGACTCGCCCCTCTTTCTCAGCTCAGGGGCCTGTGTTTCCCCCTTCCCGGAGTTTCCTGGCCCCGCGCCTGCCCCTGTTGTGCGTGGCTGGCTGCCTGTCATCCGTGAGTCATCTCGGCTTACACGGCCCCTCGGAGGCCCCTCTGCTCAGTCTGCGAAAGGAGCCTTTCTCGCTACTCTTTTCCTTACAAGGTCAAGTCAAGTTGTCACTATTTTCTCCATTTGGCTTGGTTTTTGTCTGTGCCCCCATGTAAGCATGATGAGGGCGGGCCACGCCTCTAATACTGACCTTGAGCTCTATCATTCAGTCCAAAGCCGGCGCCTGGTGCGTGTTGGATAGGTGTTGGGTGAAGGCTTAGGAGTGATGGTACTGGTAGGTGTTGGTAGGTGTGGTGAAGGCTTAGGAGTGATGGTACTGGTAGGTGTTGGTAGGTGTGGTGAAGGCTTAGGAGTGATGGTACTGGTAGGTGTTGGTAGGGGTGGTGAAGGCTTAAGTGCACAGGCACTGGTAGGTGTTGGTAGGGGTGGTGAAGGCTTAGGAGTGATGGCACTGGTAGGTGTTGGTAGGGGTGGTGAAGGCTTAGGTGCACAGGCACTGGTAGGTGTTGGAAGGGGTGGTGAAGGCTTAGGAGTGCAGGCTTATTGGGACCACAGAACCCAGGAGGAAGAGTGGGGGTTGAGAAAAGGTGCTGAGAAGAGCTCCTTTAGGAGAAGGAGTTGGAGGTACTCGTGAGGCCTGAAATGCAGGGACAGGGACCCAGGTGGCAGACGGTGTCTCGTGAGGACAGCACTGGCCGGGGGTGGAGGTGTGAGAGGCACTAGGTGCTCTCCTTCACTAAAGCTATGACACTGGGAGTTTGTCCCTCGGAACGTGCTGTGTCCCAGAGAGTGGTCTCCTGGACGGAGAACCGGCCGCTGACCTGTTCTCACGTGCAGGTTCCTGGCCTCACCCCGACCTCCAGAGCCAGTCTCTGCAACAAGCCGCCTGGCCTCCTCGGCGGCCGGAGCCCGAGAGGCTGTGGGCCAGGCAGGGCGGGGAGCAGCGGTGTCTGGGGGCTGGAGGAGGAGCCTGTGTGTTTCAGGAGATAAGCAGGAAGAGTGGAAACGGGGGAGGAAACCCAGGATTGTAGCGTCACAGAGAGCCAGGGCCAGGTGTGTGCCTGCAGAGAGGGTCACATGCACAGAGTGAGCAGGTAGATGGGGACCCAGACAGTGTGTTAACTGCACATCGTCAGATACGGAGTCCATCGGTGCTTGGCCCTTGTCAGCACAGTGGACACCTTCGTGGCTTAGAACGTGTCAGGGCACCGGCACACTGCACTTTCATGCTCTTGGCTGGATCTGGGAAGAACAAGGACAGGGCTCGGTGGTGAAATCCCACATGAAAAGGGGCTGGTGCAGTGGGCGGCAAACTGCGGCCCCTTGAGTGTGGCTCTTCCATAAAATACCACGTGCAGGCACGCACGTACAGTGTGATTGAAACTTCGTGGCCACACTCAAGGGGCCAAAGAGCCGCAGTTTGCTGACCACTGGGCTAGTGTGTCATAAACTATCTGAAAACTTGGGGTTGGCTTTCTGTCACAGGAGCAGTTACCTTCCCAAAGCCTGTTTCCCCGGCGGCACTTGTGTCAGCCGCAGAGCCTGAGGGGACGGTGTCTGAGTGAGTCACCCGCGGGTAGGAAGCTGGGTGCTGCAGGCCATTTCTGTTTCCCTGGGAAGTCAGGCGAGACCTCAGTGTACTGGACCCGAGAAATGGCACGGGCGGCACGCATGATGACAGCCCGCCCGGGTCCTGTCCCTTTCCCCGCAGGCTGAGAAGTTCGGCGACTCCTTCGTCTTCGAAGGCCTGCTGAGCGAGCAGGTGAAGGCCGGCATCCAGCAGGCGGTAAGTACCTGACCGGCGCTCGCGTGTCAGCAGCACCGGCGTGGCCCCGGCTGTCCAGCACCGGTGGCCGTCCTGGGCGGTGAGTGGCACTGCCCTGCACCCGGCGCACAGGCCCAGCCTGGCTTCGTGCCTGCTTGTGTCTGCCGTCTCGGGCCTGTGCTTTGCCGTCTATGGGGATGGACGTGAGCGTGGCTGCCTCGGGTTGAAGGTTTGCTCTCTGGCTGAAATGCGTCTGGTTTAGAGATGCCCACGGTCTGCCAGGGCCGTGCTGTCCTGAGAACTGGCACAGAAGTCCCTCCCTGGCCTCAGTCTCGAAGTCCAGGGAAGCAGCAACATGGACCCGGAACCCAGTTTACTGTATTTCTTTTACCTGATTTATGAATATTTCATATCAAATATGTTAGGAACAAAACTGATAGCACATGCATCATCTGTTTGAAAAGATTCAGAAGAGTAAGAGCGTCCGGCATCCGTGGCGCCCGCAGTGACAGCTGAGGCAGTCTCAGCAGGGACACCGCAGGCAGGCGCTGCGGAGGGGGCGGCGAGGACAGGGTGCCGGGAAGCGAGTGGGGGGCTGGTCAGGGAGGACCTGGGGGAGGAGGAGGCCCTGGAGGAGGGGGCCTTGCAGGCGGGATGGGATGCGTTGGGATCACCTGAGGCCAAGCACCTGGCAGGGCCTGCCTGTCCCCAGCTCAGACCAGACCTTCGCCGTGTGTGGTCAGCTTGGCTTGCCCTGGGACATCCACCCGAAATGCCCTCTGTCTTGCATGCTGGACTTGGGTTCCTCCACCTGCTGGTTCTGATGGCTCCCGTGCCTGCCTCTCCTGAGTTTATCTCCCTACATGATGTGGGTGTTTGTCCAAGTGCCCGTCCTTCGCCAGATCTGCCTGGGACAGGGCGCTGTGGCACTCACGCCATGAGTGAGTCCTTGTCAGGAAGGAAGGCGCCGGGGATCCTCTGTCGGAGCACTTGGTGTTGGAAGCTGCCGGCTCTGACCTGGCGTGACCCGTCCAGGTGGGAGAGTACGCCTGGGCGTGGGGTGAGTCGGGGTCACAGCGAGCTGCTCGGGAGGCCCGGCTGGCTGATTGGATGAGATAAGAAGGGAGCATGTCCCACGGCCGTGTCGTGTGTCTGCCTTTGAAAAGAGCAGGTGTCGCCTGACCTGGGAGTCGGTGTGTGGCGTCTGCCCAGGAAGCAGGAAGCGCGATAGCCCTGGAGGCGAGGGCCCGATGGGACAGGATAACGGGCCTGGCGGGTCCCAGAGGCGCAGATCTGAACCCCGTTCAAGTGTCCTCGGGTGCCCTTTCGAGTCCCGGGCCCTCTGAGGTCTGACTTGGGTGAAGAAATAACATCGGCCTGACATCGCCCCTACGGGCCTCGGCGATGGCCTTGCGGACCTCTGTGGAGAGATGAGGTCCACCCAGGAGCAGGAGGCGTGCCCGGGGGTCAGCGGCTCTAAGAAAACTAACGCACCAGCCACCATTTAGCTGGACGGGACTTTTCACCAGGCCACACCTCCCCTTCCAAAGAGGCCGCCGAGGCCCGGAGCGGAGGAGGCAGCCTCAGCGCCAGGGGGAGTGGAGGTGGCACCACTAGGACCGCCACGGGCCAGGCCGAGTCTCCCCTACAGAAGGAGCCCCACTCAGAGGCTGTAAACTTGGGGTTTGTCCAGGAGAGGTCAGCAGGTGGGGGCGCTGGAAGCCATGGCCACCTCAGGAACAGGTGCGTCATGACAACATCTCCTGGGGGCCGCGGGGGGCAGTGCTCGCCCCGCCGTGCTGTACGGTATGAACGGCTCCTCTTTGTGAGAGATTTATTCACGCCCAAGTCTTTATTTCCCACGTCCTGGGAAAGGCGTTCGTTTGGATGGAGACCGTGGGCGCGTTTGAGCGCGTGCTGAGCCATTTCCTGCGGCCTCGCTGCTAACCTGGCTCCTCTGGTTGCTTTGAGGTGGCGGCTGCTCCCTGGTGGTTACCTGTGAAAGGCGCCAGCTGGCGACACCCAGAGGGGCCCGACTCGACTGTCCTGCACAGGTGAGGGGCTGTTCTCTCCGGCGACGTCCCAGGCAGATCCCCGCTGCTGCGAGGACAGTGCGGTGCCTATCTGCGGGGGAGGGCGGGCGCTCGGACTGGAGGTTGGGACGAAGCGGCAGGAAATAGCATGTTCCCCTGAGGCCCCAGACACTGCACCTCTCACAGGAGGCTCTTAAGGGGCCGCCTTCCTCCCTCGCGCGTCATGTCTGAAGGCACCCCTTTGACGGGCCAGTCGCCTGCCTCCTGGCAGGTTTACCTTGCTGCCTGGCCGCCGCTCCTCTCCGAGGGGCTGTGGACACTGTCTGCGGAGAAGCATGTCCGGCCAGGTGGCCCCTGTGCACGCTCAGGCCTTGGCTCGGGGCTCCTGTCCCCCCATCCGGGGCTGACACACTTTGGAGCGACCAGCTGACTGAAACTCCGCCGAAGCGGGGCCAGCACGTCTCGGGGGCGAGGAAGTAATTATCTCAGCAGAAATAGAGCAGCACGCAGCCCAGGGGAGCAGGTCTGGGTCAGGGCGGCAGCTCGGGGCCCAAGGACACTGCTCTCCTGGCCCACTTCCAGGGGGACTCCCAGCCCTGGTTTGACCACATTCCTGGTGATTGCCCTCATTGCCGGGGCCAGCACACATGGAGCTCCGCATGGGGCGCAGCCCCTGGGCAAGTGGCAGGAGGCCTTCGGAGCCCGGCGTGGCAGCCTCCACCGGGACAAGCTGGGAGGGGCAGTCACGCGGGACTGGGTCCTTCAGGGTGACTGCCCTTTGAGCTCCCAGTCAGCATCTGTCTTGAACTTAACGGTAGAAGAAAGCTGAGGGAGAAGGAAACCCACGGGGCATGCGTTTTACCCAGAATCCATCCTCTGAGAAGAGGGCATCTCTTTTTTTTAAAAAAAATATCTTTTTATTGATTTCAGAGGGAGAGAGAGGTAGAAGCATCAATGATGAGAGAGAATTATTGATCGGCTGCCTTCTTCACGCCCCACACTGGGGATCGAGCCTGCAACCCGGGCATGTGCCCTGACCGGGAATCACTTTGTGACCTCCTGGTTCCTAGGTTGACTCTCAGTCACTGAGCCCTGAAAAGTGCATCTCTTACCAGTTCCATGGGCAGTGACTGGCACTAATGGGCACTCAGCAAGCATTTGTTGAAGAATGGGGTCAGGGTACGTTCCTGCAGGGAGTTAGGGAGGTACAGGAATTGACTAGGAGTGCGCAGGCCACTCGAAACAGCACCCAGGAAATGTCTGTCCCTGTCTTCTCAGACTTCCTTCCCTTCGACCCTCTGCACCCTTAGAAAATATAACGACTTGGACTCCAGAGTGGGGCTGGGGCAGCCAGCTGCTGCTCTTCAGCAGACACAGGGAGAGCAGGTGCGGCAGGCTGGGGGCCTGGACACGGGGCCCAGGATAGGCCTTGTTGTGGGGGGGTGGGGGGGAAGGAGCTAAGACTATGTGGGCCCACGGAGTCCCGGCCAATCCCGCAGGGGCTCGGGGTACACAGACCCACAGAATTGCTGCCCACAGGATTGCTGCGGTGGCCGGAATGGCTGGGCCTCATGCCACTGCCCTGGTTAGCCCTTGGTGGGTCTGAGCTGGCTCCGGCAGCTGTGGGAACCCCCAAGGGGCTGACAGCACCCTGCAGTGGGAGCACCTCTTCCTTAGAGGCGGGCTGGGAGGCTCTCCACACCCACCATCCAAGTGAGGCTCCGTGGGGCCTGGGCGAGCCTGCACAGTGAAGAAATGATGGGTCTGAGTGTGCTTCTAAGAGGAATTGTCACCCTTTGGGAGCTGGGGAGTCAGAACCCCGTGGGGGGGGGGGGGCTTGCTTGGGGACCAGGATGGCGTCAGTGTCGAGGGCGGAGGGGCCTGGGCTTTGCTGAGCTGGTCTGTGCCCTGCAGTTCACTCCCTCCTCGCTCACTGTCTCCAGGCCGGACCACCCGGTCCTGCACGTCTCCTGGAACGACGCGGTCGCCTACTGCACGTGGGCCGGGAAGCGCCTGCCCACGGAGGCCGAGTGGGAGTACAGCTGCCGCGGGGGCCTGCACGACAGGTATGGCCCGTCTTGCCCAGACAGGTGCCGGCTTCTTCCAGATCTGGGCCTGGTTCTGGTGAGAGAGTCGCTCTACACCCAGGCTTCCATCCTGGGCTTGCCTTGTGCCCTGGTTACTGCGACGTGACCAGTGGTCAGCAGGTGTGGGGCGGGCGGCTCCTGCATCCATGGCGTCTGCAGGCCAGGCTGGCGTGGCACAGGCCTCCCAGGGCTCGTGGCCACGGCCGCCAGCGTTTTCTGACTCAGGCTCCTCTGGAAGCAGCGCCTTTCTCTGCTGCAGGAGCCGAGAGCCGGGAAACTCGCTGTGGAAAAAGCTCCTAGAGCAGCGAAGCCTCTAAAACAGTGGTTCCCAACCTTCCTCATGCCGCGGCCCTTTAACACAGTCCCTCATGTTGTGGTGACCCCCAATTTCATTGTTACAGATTGAACATAATTAAAGCGTAGTGAGTAATCACAAAAACAATATGTAATTATATATGTGTTTTCTGATGGTCTTAGGCGACCCCTGTGAAAAGGTCGTTTGACCCCCAAAGGGGTCGCGACCCACAGGTTGAGAACCACTGCTCTAAAACGTGCAGGCGCTGCCCTGTGGGCCCAGCCCGCTCGCCTCCCAGCTTCCGCCAGTCCCCTTAGTCCGGCGACTGCTTCCAGGGAGCACCCAGGGAGACGGGTGGGACCTGGATGCGAACTAGCCATGTGGGAGCTACAAATCCCTGAGTAGACGCTTTGCTTATTTTTACACATTTAGGATTTAAGATCACATAGCTCACTCAGAGCACACGAGCGGTGTTCCCTTCCACTGCATCCCTGCTGGCGACTTCAGTGCAGAATCCCGTGCCCGGGGCCGGGCTGAGGCCTGTGTGGCACCTGATGCCCGGGCCGGGCTGAGGCCTGTGTGGCACCTGATGCCCGGGCCGGGCTGAGGCCTGTGTGGCACCTGATGCCCGGGGCCGGGCTGAGGCCTGTGCGGCACCTGATGCCCGGGGCCGGGCTGAGGCCTGTGCGGCACCTGATGCCGGGGGCCGGGCTGAGGCCTGTGGGCCGGGCTGACACCCGTGGGCCAGGCTGACACCCGTGGGCCGGGCTGATGCCTGTGGGCTGGCTGACACCCGTGGGCCGGGCTGACGGCTGTGGGCTGGCTGACACCTGCGTCTCTCCCGCAGACTCTTCCCCTGGGGCAACAAACTGCAGCCGCGGGGCCAGCACTACGCCAACCTCTGGCAGGGCGAGTTCCCTGTGACCAACACCGGCGAGGACGGCTTCCGCGGCACTGCGCCCGTGAGTAGCGAGGCTGCGGATGAGGCGGCAGCCCCGGGGACTGAGACGAGGGGTGGGTGACTGCCTCGCTCCTCTGCCCCACGCGCTGCCCCATGTCCAGCCGCTGTGCACACAGCGAACGCTAGTGATCGACCAGGCAGTGTGTTTCTAACACGGTTTCCTTTCCGATTCCGGGATAGTTGCTGTAGAAACTGTGAAAGAGGAGTATAAGGGGGAAAATTCAAAGGGGAATTCTGCCCTGGGGCCCTGTTAGCATGTGGTGCATCCGCCCATTCTGCTCTCTACGCTGAGGACGGGGTCAGTGGCGCTGGCTGCGGGGACAGAGCTGGCGCGGGGACTCAGTGCTGAGACACTGTGGCCAGCACAGCTCGGCTGAGGACAGCTCACATTGGATCCAGCGTGGGTTCCGCTCCCCGTCAGATACAGACCCGACTTCTGGCCAGTGCTGGTCTCTCATGACGAATAGCTGTGCTGGCTTCCCTCCGTGTGACGTGTGCAGACTCCCCTTAGGCTTCGGAATTCCCCTGGAGAGCCACGCCGGAAAGTGGCTCCTACTTACTTGTATTTTCATTTGTGCGCTGGCCACATGGTGTTGGGACTGCTGGGGGGAAATTAGTGTCCAGACTTTGAAGTTACAGCTCCTGGTGTGTTTCTGTGCAGAGGTTTCTTTGTTTTTTTGTTTTGTTGTGTTTTTTTTTTAATAGATTTTAGAGAGGAAGGGAGAGGGAGAGATGGAAACATCAATGATGAGAGAGAATCATTGATCAGCTGCCTCCTACACGCCCCCCACTGGGGATGTAGCCTGCAACCCAGGCATGTGCCCCCTTGATCGGAATCGAACCTAGGACCCTTCGGTCCGCAGGCCGACGCTCTATCCACTGAGCCACACCAGCCAGGGCAACACACAGGTTTCTGAGCGAGGTGAGGAGCGTGACCGCGGTTTCCGTTGTGTCTCTTTAGGTCGATGCCTTTCCTCCCAACGGCTACGGCTTGTACAACATCGTGGGGAACGCGTGGGAGTGGACGGCGGACTGGTGGGCCGTGCGCCATTCTGCCGAGGAGGCGCTCAACCCAGTGAGTACAGCCCGCAGGCCCCGAGCGGGGCTCGCTTCCGTAGTTTGGGGGGAGGGGGGGAAGTTCTGGTGCTCTCGCGTTAGTCCGGGGCTTCCCCAGGGGGATGCTCAGTCCATCTCTGATCTCACCTGGCAGTATGTATGCCCGGGAGCGTCGATCTAGAAACCAGGAGGTCAAGGTTAGGGCACTTGCCCGGGTGGCAGCCAGTCAATGATTCGCTCTTATCATTGATGTTTCTATCTCTCTCTCTCCCTTCCTCTCTGAAATCAATAAAAATATATTAAAAAAATACATAGATAAATAAATAAATAAAATAAAAAGCAAATTCCTTCCTTCAGTCAGCAAAGGGTTTATTAGAGTCCCACAGTAGGATGTGAAGACCTAATTCAGAGAGGCCGGCAGCTGGTGGAGCAGGCCAGTGAGGGTGCGGGTGACTGCAGATCAGGGGGAGCAGGGTCACGGGGTGATGTCAGGGTGCCACCGGGCGCCGCTGCAGTGTCCCGGTCATCAAGGCGACAAGTGCTGTGGGTTGAGAGGTGGGGCTGGGCCTTAGAGCAGATGGGAATTGGAGGGGGCTTGGGGGGTACAGGGGTGCAGGCGCAAGGCCCTGGAGGAAGTGCACGTGGGGTGTAGGTCACCCCGAGGGAGCTGGTGGGACTGAACGGACTCCGTCCGAGGCGAGAGGAGCTGCGCTCTGGACTCAGGAGCTCTCCTCCCTCCACAGAAGGGCCCCCCCTCCGGGAAGGACCGGGTGAAGAAAGGCGGCTCCTACATGTGCCATAAGGTGAGTCCGAGCCCTGTGGGGTGTCTGGTGGCGGGTGCACACACCCATTGTAAGCTCAGCCCCTGACGTGCCCCTGCTCCTGCTAATGCAGACCCGACCCCATGGAAGCCAGAGCAAAGTCCTAATCCCCTCCGGCTTGGGCTCGGGCGCGGGGAGACGTGGCACCGGCAGCAGAGGCTGTGAACGGCCTGCTGTCAGCCAGGTCCCCTGTGTGGCATCTGGACCTTTGAGAGGCCTGTGGCCCGTGAACCGGGGGGTGGGGGGTGTCCTCTTCCAGTGGGAGAGCCTGAGCACGCCCCGGTTGAGTCGGGACGTGTGCGCTGCCTGCGTTCTCGGTGGAGACGAGGTCAGAGGTGGGCGGGTGGACCGTGGGAGCACCCGGTGCTCTGGGTGTGGAGTGGGCTCGGAGCTGAGTGGGCCTCAGGGCGGGGCTGCCGTGGGCTGAGACTCCGGTCGGAGCTGGTGCTCGGTCCGGCGGAGGACCAGGGTGTTCTGAGTAACCATTTTAAGGACTTTTGACATCGATGTCAAAGTGGACTCTGGAATCAGGTCTGGGTTGAAGTCCTCTAACTGCTCCTTGCTCGTCTGTGCCCTTGGGACCTAGCCTTTCTAAGCCTCACTTTAAACATTTGTAAAATGCGCGTCATAATTGCGCCTACTGTAAGGTCCTCACGAGGAATGAATGGACCCGCACGTGTGAGCACGTGGTTCAGGGCCTCGCTCACGGTCACGACTCAGTAAGAGCTGCTGCTGCCAACCCATCATCCTCGCTGTCCCCTCACGTCCCACACAGGAGAGCCGTCGCCTCATTAGGTCGTTTCCCCTTCCTCTGAAAGCGGGTCCCACTACCGAATCCCTGGCTGGTAAGGCAGAGCCCTGGAAACGTCTTAGCACAGGTGGGAGCCGGGAAAAGGAAGGAGTCGTGTGGTTCATTGTGAATGAGGGCACCTTGCTGAGCCGGGCCGGCCTTGGCCAGGGCCGGGCTGTGTGCGTGGCTCAGTGAGCGCTGCTGATGACTCCCAGCTGCCATCGGAGAAGGGGGCACAGAGAGAACAGGCACCTGGCATCCAGAGGAGCCCTGGGTGGATGGAAAAGGCTGTCACCTGCCACCACCCCTTCCCAGCCAGGGGCCTGGGCGCACTCAGCATCCCTGTGCCTCAGTTTCCCTTCAGGTGTGCAAGTCAGACTCTCGTAACACCGACCCCTGGTGCTCGGAGGGTGAAGTGAGTTAGTTGCGTGACGTTCTCAGGACAGTTCCCAGAGGGAGTGGTCCAGAGCCCGTCATGATGAACGTGGTAGATTCATCCCGTGGGACCTTCTGCTGGGCCCCGGCCCCAGCGTGGAGGCAGCCCTCCGCCCGCCCGACACCAGGCTCTCACGCAGGCGCTACTGTCCGTGGCCAGAGCGACGCGGGGAGCCCTAGACCTGGCTGCTGTGGTTTCCTGTGATGGTTTTCTGTACAGTGACCCACAGTTACCCTGAAGCTTCCTTTAGCCCTGAGAGTCCTCCTCTCGCCGAAGCCACGCTGCCGCCCGCTTGGCTTCAGGGCCCAAAGGGAGCAGGTCCTGGTCTTCAGTGGGTTGTTCCCGAGCCTGGGCCACTCTTAGCAGGACACGGAGCTCAGTCTCACACAGGAGTCAGCCCCTCCGAGGAGACGGCGAGCACGGTCCCTCCACTCCCTCTCCCTGTTCTTAATTAGTAAAATGACCCATATTCCAGCCACGCAGAGCGCTCACATTAATAACCATTTCTGCGCTGAAAGTAGACCTGGGGGAGAAGAGCAGCGAGGACATTCGAAACCAGGCCGTTTCCTCCCCGTTCCCGCTCCTCGGAGCGAAACGCTCTGCGCGCGTGTTTCCTGAGCGAGTGCGCTTAGCGCCGTGTCTCCTGCAGGGCCCGACCCCAGCTCATCGCAGGGACTCGGACAGGGCTCCGTCTGCGCATTCGTTTAGCTCATGGGAGGTTTTCTTTTTCTTTTTTTAAAATATGTTTTTATTGATTTCAGCGAAGTTATTGGGGCTGCGGTGACCTAAGAAAGGACCAGCCCTTATGTTTGTCCCTAATTTTAAGCTTGTTTGTTATACAAACAAGACATTTTCATTGCATTAAAATTAGAAAGCAAATAATCAACATAAAAGTGCAAATAACATCATTCTGCTTCCTGAAGAAAATGACTGATCCCTGTTCTACCCAGTTTTTTGGTGACTTTTATTTGTTTCTTCCCCACGTGGAGTTATTCTGTGTCCCGGGCTCCAAACACAGTGGCGGTAAACCTCCTGCCCTGGACATCGCCGTCTCCACCGTCTCAGGTCTCAGCCTCCGAGCTGGGCGTCCCACCCTACCCACACCCGGTGCCCAGAGCTCCCGCACCCTCTGTCCTGCCCGCCACCCATCCTACCCACACCCGGTACTGGAGCTCCTGCACCCGCCCTGCCCGCCACCCATCCTACCCACACCCGGTACCGGAGCTCCTGCACCCGCCCTGCCCGACATCCATCCTACCCACACCCGGTGCCCAGAGCTCCCGCACCTGCCGTCCTGCCCGCCGGCTGTGACGGGCCCCGCCTGACCGTCCCGGGCTGAGACGTGCTTTACGGCCAGACCGCACGTTCCTGTCTTCAGAGCACATCGGGGTTTTCCCACCTCTGGTCCCGTTCGCACACGCCCAGACCCTTGACTCTGTCACTGTTTCCGGCAAAGCTTGCCCTCTGAGCTCGTCCACACGGCTCAGCCTGGGAAACAGGCTCCCGCCCAAGGGGGCTGAGGTCACTGTGGGCGTGGGAGCCCCAGGCCTTTTCTCGCCTTCGTTGTTCCTCGGGTGAGATCCCACCACACGCAGTGCTGTGTCCTGATGTTCGTTTAACACTCGGTCACGACACTGCCCTGGGTCGTTAAATGTCACATAAAGACACGGTGTGTAGTGGCTGCCCGCCAGTCTGAGATGGTAACCATTGCTTGTCAATTGATGTTTTACTGTTTTGAGTGGCGCTCACGCCGACATCTTGTTGCTCAAACTCTCTCCTGCAGTCCTACAGCTACAGGTCCCTGTGCTCCCCTCTCTCCTCCCTGCAGTCCTATTGCTACAGGTACCGCTGTGCGGCCCGAAGCCAGAACACCCCCGACAGCTCCGCCTCCAACCTGGGATTCCGCTGCGCCGCCGACCGCCTGCCCATCACCAGCTGAGCCCAAGCAGAGCCGCCCCAGCCCAGGAGAAGGCGTGTCCCACCCACGCTCAGCCTCCCTGGGCAGGACGGGCCACCCGTGTACAGACACCCGGGGCGGGGCGGACCCGCCATCTGCCAAAGGAACCACTTGTGAGACCAAATCACTGACCTGCACCAGCACGTGACCGTCGTGCTGCGATCGGGACCATTGCCATGTTTCCCTTTGGGGGACTTTTAAAGAGGAGGGGGTGGAGGGAGCCCGGAGCGAGGCTTCGGGGGGCTGTGCTCTCCCAGGCGCTGTCTGGGGTTAGACCCCAGGTCCACGGTGACCGTCGGCCAGGGAGGGGGAGCTGGGGCCTCTGCGGCTCCCGGTTCTACATGTCAGAGTGTGTAGTGATTGCACAGGGGCGTCTATGGCAGGGCATTTCTCAGCTGTTCCCCACGGGTGACCTTGCGTAATTCTAATCATGTACAGTCAGTCTCTTCGGGTTCTTCTGGGGAAGGTGGGCGTGGCCCCGAGTCTTACAGTCACTTGCACTTTGTTTTTTAAGGACAAGGGTGTCGTTCACGCTGTTACGATGACTCCCATGCGCTGTGACCGTGGGCTTAAGGTCAGCTTTCTGAACACACGGGAAGTCCGTGGGTGACTCTCCTGAGCTTTATCTTTAACGTTAAGTGCCTTTGGTTCAGGGGGGCAGTCACAGCCCCAGCCCCCCTCCCCAAAGCCTTCTGTGGGTGTGGGTGTGGGTGTGTGCCAAACGAAGAAGCCTGCTGAACTCAGGCGCAGGAGCGGCGGCGCGAGAGTGGGGGCTGCGTTCCGGGCCCCGAGTGTGTAAGGGAAGCAGGCCCTCTGGCTGTGGGGTCGATGCCTGAACTCGCGCCACGTGGAATAAACTGTCTGCCGAGTCCGCCTTCATGCTCACGGCTCCTTTCTGTTCCCTCGTGTTTTCTTGTAAAGAAATGACGGGTTGGGATGGGTTTGTTTTCGAGGAAACTTCCCCGTCTCTCAGCTACGCCACGACTGGCGTGTGGGCCGCCGTGGGGATTGTTACTCCTCAGAGCAGGGCGGTCCCGCCGGGGCCCCCGGGACCCAGGAGGGAGGCACATCCGGGGCTGCCTGGGCTGGTGGCCCTGGGCACCTTCACGCTTGTAGCGACGCCGCCACACAGGGCCCCTCGTCAGGACCACCCGATCCCACAAAGACCCGCAGGCGTCCTACCCGGCATTGGAGAGGAGCGGCTCCTCTTCCTTTGGGTGGTTCAGAAAGTCGGGAGGCTCAGCCAACACTGCGTCGCTACTTTTTTTTTTTTAATGTACTTTTATTGATGTCAGAGAGGAAGGGAGAGGGAGAGAGAGAGAAACATCAAGGATGAGAGAGAATCATGGATCAGCTGCCTCCTGCACACCCCACACCTGGGATGGAGCCCGAAACCCAGGCCTGTGCCCTGACTGGGAATCGAACCGTGACGACCTGGTTCATGGGTCGATGCTCAACCACTGCACCACACCAGCCCGGGCACGATCTCTCCTTTGTGTCCAGCCTCCTACACCCGCTGCCAGCTGCTGGGCCACATTTACTGAGCTGTCAGTCTGTGGGTACAATGTTTCCCGACAAACTTTCACCAAATGATGATTCCTTCCAAGCAAAACAAACACAGCATTTGCTTAATTGAAAACTAATGCGGGCAGTAAGGTGGTTATTCTGCAAGCCTCCACTTGCCAAGTACAGTTCTGACGGGCTCCGTCCCACCTGCTTATGTTTTTGCCTGGTTATATTTCTACTGCGTCTATTTTGGGTCCCTCTCCTGTCTCTATAGCATAAATATTTTGGGGGGTGTTTTGGCATAGTCTTTAGAATCGCATTTTTAGCTGCAGCAGCATGTTAGAAAGCATTTAAGACAAGATCCTAGCAAGCCCTTCACCGAAGAACCACGTGTCCAGGCTCCTGCCTACAGAGTGCACCGGCTGCAGACCGCCGACCCCACGCACCGCGGGGCCTGCGCATGACGATGAGCAGACAAGACGCAGTGCGAAAACCTCAGCTTTGATGTCACATGGACATTCCAGAAAACCCCGCCTTCTGCAGGTTGCACGTAAACAACAGGACATAGGGACACACAGGGCTGGGCAGACACTCAGACTTGAAGGAACCTGGGAGCTGGAGCAGGAAGGAAAAGCAGACCATCCTAGTAAGCCTGTAGCTCACTCACATTTCGCACAGCATCATAGCCAGCAACCAGCCCGGGGGCCTGGCCAGCCTCACGCCCTGGCCCTTCCTTCTCCCGATGCAAGTCTTTTTGTTGTCAGTTCTCACCTGAGAATATTTTTTCCATTGATTTTATTTTTTATTTTTAAATATATTTTTATTGATTTCAGAAAGGAAGGGAGAGAAATAGAAGCATCAATGATAAAAGAGAATCATTGATTGGCTGCCTCCTGCACACCCCCACTAGGGACCAAGCCCGCAACCTGAGAATGTGCCCTGACTGGGAATCAAACTGGGAATTCCTGGTTCATAGGTCAGTGCTCACCCACTGACCCACGCCAGCTGGGCTCCATTGGCCTTTTTTGGAGAGAGGAAGGGAGGGAGGGAGGGAGGGAGAGAGAAAAATGTGAGACACATTGGTTGGTTGCTTCCCCTATGCACCCAGCCCAGGGTGGGGGAGCAAGCCCACAACCCTTGACCAGGAATACAACCTTGACCCTTCAGTACACAGGCCAGCACTAACCATTGAGCCACCAGCCAGGGCCAGATGTAAGTCTTAAAGGCATTTGCCTTTCACGGAGACCCCTGGCACCAGAAGTGAGAAGCTGGTTGGCTGCAGACTTCTTCATCAAGCAGCTTTTAAGATGGGAGGGCGGGGTCTGCGGCTTGTTTTGTCAGGGGTTCTAGTGGGTCCCCGCTTCTAACCCCAGTTCCTGCCCCGGGGAAGCATTTTGCGAGCCCTGTGCGCTGAGGGAAGGTGGCCTTTGCCGCTTCACATGCTTATGACCCAATCCCACGGGAATGATTAACCCGGGAGGCCGCCGAGCGGGCAGCGGGCCGGCACCTTCCTTGCGCTCACTCTCCCGGTGAGGCCATTAGAACCTGAGTCGCATTAGTTTTGAGATTCAGCCAGACCATGACCGCCAGGCGGAGGCTCCTGCCTGACCCGGCCTGTGCAGGGCCTGACCGTCCAGGGATGGGCAGCGGGGAGAACTGTCCTCTGCCAGGTCGGGGGGCTGCGCTGCCTGGGCCTGGGCCTGGGCCACGCCTGGCAAACTCCCTGTTTTCCTGCGGAGGAAATGGAAGACGGATCAGCAACCAGCAACGTTCCCAACAGGTCCCTTGGCCCCTCCTTGTGGGGAAACCTGAGCAGCTCCGACTGGGGGGGGTGGAGGTTGGGAGTGGGAGGGGGGGCGCGAAACGCCAAGGACCAGGGAGGAGAGAGCAGCGTCCTGGTCAGGTGGCACCGATAAGAGGGTCACCTGAGCTTCGTGCTTGTGAGGAGGGGCCCTCGGGGTTGCTGTTTTGAAGTGGCAGGTGGGTTGACCCTTTAGACAGGGGGGTGCGGACACCAGGTGGGCATCCCCCACCCCCTCCCCAAAGCTGTGAGCACTGAGTCTGTGCTGACGTCCAGCTCCTGGAGGGCTCGGCCTGCGCAGTGCGGCCACCAGAGGGCCCGTCTGCAGAGTGGCAGGCGGCACAGTCCTCCCAGGGCATCTGGGTGCCCACCTGCCCAGAGCCATCCTCAGCCCCCCACTGACCCTGCTCCAGGGGAACCAGGTGTGGTTTCCCCCAGCCCAGTGCCTGCCTGGGGAGGCGGCTGGGGCGGTCGCCCTCTGCTGGCCAGTTCCTGTTCCTGCAGAAGGTAGAGCCGTCCCTGCCACCCAGCCAGTGCCCACCAGGAGCCAGCCCAGCACCTCCTTCCCGTTTCACAGTCAGAGCCAGGCCTGGGCTCCCTCAGCCGGGATGGAGCGGAGCTGGACTGGGAATCGGGACGGGCCCTGCCGCTGGTGTGTGTGGCCGCCGTTTTCACGAACCTGGGAGGCTCCGGGGCCCTCTGTGCAGACAGGTTGCAGGAGTGAGCGCCCCAGAGACACCTGAAGAGACAGACAGGCAGAAAGGCTTTGTGAAGGTCCGTGGAGGCCCGGCCCCTTTCCCCTGGCTGCCTGCTGGGGGCGCCCACACCCTCCCGGAGGGCAGGGCCGGGCTCCAGGGCTCCTGCTGTGGGGAGGTGAGACCCGGATGCCGGACCTTCAGAGCTGGAGAAGTGCACTTTGTTTTCTTGTGAGGGAAACTGAGGCACAGGGAGGCCTGTGTTGTGTGGACCTCGCACTGCCCACAGGTGACGTGCAGCCCTGGTCATGCCACACACAGTCCAAGCTGTCGTCTCTCCTGCAATACCCTCCCTGGCCTGATCTGACCTCGGTCTCTGGCGTCCTGTCCCAGGCTGGTGAAGGGGGCAGTGCCCACGGCGCAGTGAGTGAACGGTGAATGAATGAGGAGATTGCTGGGCACAGACAGAGACAGGCAGAGGTGGAGAGAATCAGAAAGAGAGGGACGGAAGGAGGGAGGGAGAGAGAGAGAGAAAGAAACAGACAAAACAGATGGATAGATGGAGAGAGATGGAGAGGGACAGACAGACGGTTGCACTGAGCCAGCGTGACTTTCTCCAAATCCCATTAGGTAGCCTGGCTGGAAGGTGCTGGGATTTCCAGCTCCGTCGCTCCCTCGATAAACTATATAAAGGCCTCCCCTGGCCCCCGGGGGGTGGGGGGCAGGGTTCCCAACTGGAATATATCATGTGATGGCAAGTCCTTTGGCCCAAGGAAAATAGCCGGGAGGAGCCGTGGAGTGTGAACGTCTCCTGGTTGAGGTTGGTTTGGGTGGCTTCCAGGGGAATGTAAGTTGCTCTGGCTCAAGAGACCCGCTCAGGCCTCTGCACGTATGGTGTGCACGGGTGTGCACACGTGGTGTGAACCTGTGTACACATGTGGTGTGAACGTGTGCGCACGTGTACACGTGTGTGCACATGTGTGCATACGTGGTGTGAACGTGCACACACGTGGTGTGAACATGCGTGCGCGCGTGGTGTGAACATGCGTGCACGTTGCTGTTTGTGGCTCAGAGTGAAGGACGGATTCTGACTCCACTGCCCTCACCAACATGGGCGCTGACAGAGTCCGTTTCTGTAGCAGCGCCTTCCGCCTCCGCGCCCATGCCCTCATCTGCACATCCCCCCCCCCCCCCCCCCCCCGCCCCCAGAGGGAGCTGTGACAGTTCCAGAGGGAGAAAGGCGGCTCGGAGGTCGCTCCAGGGCACAGGCTGGGCCACCGAGGCCAGGACGTGCACAGCCTCTAGGGTCCGCGCCCTCCGCTTTCCTCCACATGTGGCAGGGACACCTTGCCAGGCGCTCCGCTCAGAACTTGGGGTCCCCGCGCGAGCAGAAAGGAGGGTTCACGAGCTACAACTTAGCCCCTGGGCCCGCTGCCTCCTGGGCGTCCTTTGCTCCGCTGCCTGGCCAGGAAGAGCCGCACCAGAGGAGGCGGAGGGGGCGTGAGGAGGAGGAGCCGGCGGGCGTGTATTTTTGGATTGCTTCTCAGGCCTCTCCTCCTGCTTCTCTTCCTCTTCCGGCTCCTCCTCCTCCTCCTCCTCCTCCTCCTCCTCCTCCTCCTCCTCCTCCTCCTCCTCCTCCTCCTCCTCCTCCTCCTCCTTCTCCGACACCATGGCAACCAGGTGGCGGCCGAGGGAGCGCCTGTGAGCTGGGCTGAGTTGAGGGGGAGGTGGTCTGTGGGTGGGGACCTTGGCTCCCCGTCTGAGCCTCAGTTTTGGCATCTAGAATATGGGCACACAACCCAGCTAGGGGCTCCTGTCAACCCCGGTGCTCCAGAGCCAGGCCCAGGCTGGACTCATGGGGGGGGGGGGGGGGACGGACTGCCTCATCCTGCAGCTGGGGGCTGGGCAAGGCGGGGGGAGTCCCTGAGCCACGTGGCCTGCGCTTCCCACCAAGCAGCCAGCCCGGTGCGCCCACTGCACTGCCACTGCCCTGGAGCCCCCGGGGGAGCGGAGACAGGCACAGACGACACAGACAGGGGATGGGTCTCCCTGTGAGCCCCGCAGCGAGAGGTCTAGGGGGTCCCCCTGCTGGGTTCCAGGGCTCAGCTGTTCCCAGAACCCGGTCAAAGCCCCCAAAGAAGGGGCAGGGAGGGTGTGTTTCTCGGGGCTGCTGCTCCCGTGGCTACAGACTTGCCTACGCGACAGGAAGGAGGCTCTCCCCGTTCTGGGGCCAGAATCTGCGATCAGGGTTTAGGCTGTGCTCCCTCCGAGGGAGGGTCCTCCTGCCTCGCAGCTTCTGGGGGCTCCTGGCTGTATTCCTGCAACCTCAGCCTCCATCCTCACGTGACCACCCGCGGGGTTCACACGGCCCCACCCCCTTGCTCACGTGACCACTTCTGAGTGATCACGTGGCCCTGCCCCCTTGTGAGAGGGTGAACTTGAAATGCAGGCGGACAGGGCCGGGGTCCAGGGGGGAAACAAAGGCAGAGGCAGCCATGGCAGGGTGAGCAGCCTGGTCACAGGAACCGACCGAGCAGAAATAGTAAAATGTTTCTGGGCTCAAAGCCGGAGGCCCGGAACCGAGGGAGGGCCTGTCGTCACCAGGGGCACGAACGTAGGAGCAGAGCGAGTTCAGGTCCGTGGCTGGGCGCGAACAGTGAGGGAGTCAATCAGGGGACACAGGTAGACACAGCAGGCTTGTAGCAAGTATACACCCTGGGCACGGGCCTCGGGGGGCAGCCCATCGTTGGGGCTCCCCTCCCCGCGAGGAGTCTGAACCTGCTCCTAATACATTTTCCACTTTCGCTTAGTACCAGTGGTTCTCAACCTTCTGGCCCTTTAAATACAGCTCCTCATGCTGTGACCCAACCATAAAATTATTTTCGTTGCTACTTCATCACTGTCATGTTGCTGCTGTTATGAATCATCATGTAAATCTCTGATATGCAGGATGGTCTTAGGCGACCCCTGTGAAAGGGTCGTTCGACCCCCAAAGGGGTCGCGACCCACAGGTTGCGAACAGCTGGTGAACGTTCTGGTCCAAGCAGCTCATTCTCGCTGTTGGGAGACACAGGGGGCGGGGGAGGAAACACCCGGGCTCACCATTGGGTGATCACTTGTTCACGTGCCCACTCTCCCATGCTCACATGGCCCCGCCCCTTGTTCACGTGCCTACCCCTGCGTGACCACGTGGCCCTGCCCCCTTGTTCACGTGCCTACCCCTGCGTGATCACGTGGCCCTGCCCCCTTGTTCACGGGCCCACTCTCCCATGCTCACGTGGCCCCGCCCCTTGTTCACGTGCCTACCCCTGCGTGATCACGTGGCCCCACCCCTTGTTCACGTGCCTACCCCTGCGTGATCACGTGGCTCCGCTCCTTGTTCACGTGCCTACCCCTGCGTGATCACGTGGCTCCGCTCCTTGTTCACGTGCCTACCCCTGCGTGATCACGTGGCCCCGCCCCTTGTTCACGTGCCTACCCCTGCGTGATCACGTGGCCCCGCCCCTTGTTCACGTGCCTACCCCTGCGTGATCACGTGGCTCCGCTCCTTGTTCACGTGCCTAGTCTAGCGTGTTCACGTGACCACTCCCGTGACCTAGGCGAGCTACTGAACCTCCCTGCCCTCCAGGTTTTGAAAAGTAAGTGGCAAAACTTCTAGAAAAGGCAGAATGGAGGCAGGCGGGCTGAGCTAGCGGGTAGATGTTCTGCGTGTTACGCGGACCGCGGCGCGTCCCTGCGACTTGGAGGAGGGCAGGTGCCCTCGCTGTCCGGGTGGTGGTGAGCTACCCACGGGCAGCTCGGTGGCAGCCTCCCCAAAGGCAGCCCTCACCCCGAGGCCGCTCCGCTCTGCGCGAGGACCAGGTCTGCAGGAAGAGGTGGGTTTTCCGGGGCGCGGCGGGAAGGCTGGGCACGCGGTCCGAGGAGAACGGAGGGCAGGGCCCTGCCCGCCCCTGGTGCCAGGCTCCGGCCGCGGAGAGGACGTAGCGGGGAGGGCGACCGCGATCCCCGCGGAGAACGGACAGTGTCCTGTGCCCGCCTGGGGGGCGGGGGGTGTGGCAAGCCGGAGGGGGTCCTCCCCGTGAGGCCAGGCCGGGTCTCGGGGCCGCAGGCCCTCGCTCTGCTCCCTCGGCTGGGCACCGGCCTCCGGGCGAAGGCGGGCGAGGGCCGCGCCCGGGTCAGCGTGGTCTGGGCTCCGGGGTCTGTGTAACGCTCACGCGGGAGGACGGGCCCGCGTGCCCTTCGGGAGCCTCGTCTGTTACCGAAGCCTCCCGCTCGGGGCCTCGGCGGTGGGCCGGCCTGTATTCCAGCCACCGCGGCCGGCAACTTTCTCTTCTTTTTTCCCTGAAATGGTTTTGCGTGTAATGTCCCCCCCTAGCGGCCAGATTGCTCTTCGCTGCTTTGCACCAGTGCTGCCTGGAGTTGAGTTTTTGTAAAGGGTCCCGTGGGTGTGGGGAGGCCGGCGGGCGGGGTAGAAAGGGGTTGCAAACCTTCCTTCCACAGGAAAAAACTGTCCTGTCCTGCGCTGTCTGTCAGCCTCAATCTCTAGATTTCTCAGGAGAAGGTGGAGATGGAGCATGAGCTTAATTTGTTAAATAATAATACAGTATTGGGCCTACATGTTTTAGCTTTCAAAATCTAACAGACCTCCATAAGTAACATTTTTGCAACATCCTTGCTTTAACAAAGGAAGAGATGCTCTTCCACTATAATTTTCTTCTAAGGATAGATCTTTAAGAAATTGCTTTTTAGAGAGAGAGGGAAATACCGATGTGAGGGTGCAGCATCCTCACCGCCCACCAGGGATGGAGCCCGCAACCCCGGCATGTGCCCTGACGGGGAATTGAACTGTGACCTCCTGGTTCATAGGTCGACCACTGAGCCACACCGGCCAGGGCACCCCCTCCAGAAGTTTAAATGGAAACACACACCTCCCCTCCCCTGCGGTGGTGGCGATGGGCCTGTGCTGTTTCATGTTACCCACCCTGGACGAGTGAGGCTGTCTGGAGTGTTAAATGTTTACTCCAGAAGCTTCGGAGGGTAGCCACGTACACAGAGCAACCTCACGGCTGCTTTCCTTTCACGACTTCTGGTTGTGTCCACGGGAGTCGCTGTCCTGGCTGCAGTTTTCCCGGTGGTGGGATGCTCGGGGTCGCAGGTGATAATCGCGCCGCTCTCCCGATTCCTGTTTAGAAACAGGTGAGAGGTAGGCCGCCGGCGGAGGCAGACGGCAGCCACCGTCAGCTGTATTCCACTCAGTCGGCCGGCAAGCAGGGGTGCCGGCCGGGGTTCCTGGTTCCTTGGGTCATTGATTTGGTGCTCGCGCTGGAAAACCAAAACGACACCGGGGGAGAGGCTACTGCTCACCCCAAAGCCGGAGGGCAGATCGAGGCACCCGGCGTGTCCTGCAGCGCCTGGCACCCAGCGCTGTGCGTGGCTCCTTTCCAGGGTGATCCTGGGGTCCAGGGTGATCCTGGGGTCCAGCCCTCACACACGTCCCAGCCAGCGGAAGGAGCAGGGGATAAAGGAGGGAGGCCTCCTTTAAGGACTCGCCACTTTTGCTTAGGCCTCGTTATCTAGAGCTAACGAGGAAAAGGGCCCAGTTTCTAGCTGGGCAGCCATGGGTCCAACTGAAAACAGAGAATGCCCTCACAGACGGGAGAAGGGGAACCGTGACCCTGCCACAGTCCCGAGCGAAACTCACCAGCCTGCCTCCCCGGGGCGGGCGCTGCTGGCCAGGTTCCTGGAGGGCACCCGGGAAGGGCCACGCCACACGCTGGCGCTCCTCGCTCTCCCACTGAGAGGCCCCGCGTGCCCCATCCCCTACACTTCCCCTTCCTGACCCGGGGCCGGCTTTTCGGGGGTGCGGTACAGGGACGCGTCATAGGGCAGGAAAGCGGCGCAGGACGCGGAGCCACAATAACAAGGTTTTCTCGGTTTCCCGCCGCCTGGCCTGCCTTCGTCTCCCCCGTCCGAGCGGTTGAGAAACCTTCCCGAATAGTCATAAGAGAGTTCTTCTCCGGGCGAGATGTCTCTGGCTGCAAACAGCGCCAGCCTGGGCACCATGGAGTCCACGCGGACGGGCACCATGAGCAGGTTGGGCTCACAGGAGTGGTTCAGGAACCTCCCCACGTTCCCCACCCGCGCGGGGTCCACGAACGTCTCCATCACCCGCCCGCCCGCCACGTGCTCCCGGACGGCGATGATGTAGTTGGAGTCGTGTTCCGTTTGTCGCTGAATTCTCCTCTGTGCTTCGGAGAATCCCAGGACCTCGCCGGCGTACTCGCAGACGAACCGGCCTCTGGGGATGAACGCCAGGGTGCGCAGCCCCCAGCCCTTGCCGTCCGTCCTGAACACCTGCAGGGGGCGCTGCAGGCCCCGCTGGACCACGCGGTTCCCGCAGTGCCCCGGGCATGGGCACAGGGCGTTGCACTCGAAGACGGGCCAGGCGCACCTCGCTGCCGGCCCCGGGTCCCGGAGGCGCGCATCCGCGTCGTAGTTCTCCTGGTGGCGGAGACAGGAGCAGGTGCCAGGCACGCAGGGGCGGGCGAGGCAGGCGCACCCGGGGAAGGTGATCTCCGAGGGGTCGGCGTCGGCTCCGGGCCCGGCCACGTGGTCAGGACTGTACTGCAAAACCGAGACAGGGCAGTCAGCAGCAGGTCACACCCGTCTACCCGGCACAGGCAGCGTGGCCGAGCCACTTCTCATTCCTACACGTGTAAGTGTCAAAGTATGTCTGACACCATAGCTCTCCAATTTAAAAAGTAATACTGGGGCCCCAGCCAGTTCGGCTCAATGGATAGAGCGTCAGCCCGCGACTGAAGGGTCCTGGGTTCGATTCTGTCAAGGGCACATACCTTGGTTGCAGGTTCCCTGGCCTTGGTCGGGGTGCGTGCAGGAGGCAACCAATCGATGTGTCTCTCTCACATCGATGTTTTTCTGTCCTCCTTCTCCCTTCCACTCTCAATAAAAGTCAAGGTGCGTGACCTTGACCAGAATCGAACTCTTCAGTCCATGGGCTGATGCTCTATCCACTAAGCCAAACGAGCTAAGGTGAGAGGTCCAAGTGTGTTTTTTTGTTTTGTTTTTGACAATAAACTCAAAGAGAAAATTTCTTATAAACCATGGTCACCGAAGAAGCCAAAATGGAGACGGGAGCCAGAATATTGAAGGGCAAACACCCTGGCTGCTCTCAGGTGCAATGTCTCCCTTCTCTGCACTAGGCCTGCTCAACAGCATGAAGCTGGGATCCCAGTGGCACAGACTAGGGCTCTCTCGTCGTACTGATGTGGTCCTGTCTCTTCAACACCTAGGTCTCAAGTTAAGGCGCAGTCCGGAGGCTTGGGGTGCGGCATGGCGAGGTCAGGCTCCTACCCGTAGCACCGGGCACGGAGCGGGTGCCTCGGAATATTTGATTGCTTGATGGCAGCTTTTAATAACTTCGGATCAGAGGGCTGGCTTTTCTGAGTCCCATTCTGTATTGAAACCTTGGAAAATGAAGTAGGACGCTGCACAATTTTCGGGCTTAAACCTCAGGCCTTGGTTCTGAATTCTAAGGAAGTGCCGTGAAAATCTTCATTCCTTTTTTGGTTGTTTCGAAACAGCAGCTACAAGAATATTAATACTTGGCCTCTAGCCCCATGAGTTTGTTTTTGCTTCTTAGGAAACTGTGAGCCAGATAATTCTTTTCAAGGGCAAGTTGAGATCTTAAGGATGTTTCAGCCAGAAAAATAGCTAGATCCAACTCTTAGTCAAGAAAATCAATTAAAAAATTTTTTCTACTTAGGTGTCAATATGCTTGTTTCCAATGGGAACACTGGAATGTTCCTTTTTGCCTCTTCACCACAGTACCCCGAAGCTTAACTAGACACAAAGTTATTTTTAACTTGAGTTTTCATGCCTTAACTCCTGTGTGTGCATATGCCGTGAAGGCAGCGCTTGGGTCCGTTTTGACCTTTTATGAGACTGCTTTTTGTGCTCCATGAATATTTGGGAGCAAACTAGTTGAAGGCACTTCTAGGCTTGTCATTTACATATTTCAAGCAGGTTTTATCTTCTTTAAGACTATAAACTCCTGGAGGAAGTGATCTTCGTTCTGTAGCTCGAACTCTACCCAGAGTTATACTATAGCCAGCCAGCTGGGACAAGGGGGACTGAGTCTTCTCCTGATTTTCATTCATGCCCACCGACAACAGGTGTAAGGATCAATCACAGGCTCCCTTCCCCCTTCCCCGTTTATAGCAATCAAGTGCTTTCTAGCTCCTCTTGTCAACTCAAGGGCAGGAATGGTGTGTTGTCACCATTTTATCTTCTATGCCTAACTTAACGCGGCCTGGCTCATTAGAGACACTCAATTATTTGTTGAATAAAGCAAACACCTATCTGTTTTTGACCAGGCATTCCACAGTGTTTGGTTTTGAGGAAGCTTTAACTGCCAAGGTAGTTTGAGGAAACGGAACCATTCCTGCAGCGCGCGAGTCATCCTCACAAGTAGGCCCACATGGGGCTGCATGCTCCATGGGCCTGTCTAGCCCCGCCCCCTACCTGTAGGGCGCAAGCCCCGCCCCAGTAGCTGCGCGCGCAGCGCCCCAGGCCGTCAAGCCCCTCCCCCCAGGGGAGGGCGTGGTTCCGGCGCGCGACTCTGAGACCAAGCCCCGCCCTTACCTGGAAAGGTCCTGGCCTCGCACCCGGCGGCCACACGCTCACAGGCACGTTCTCCAGGCCGCACGCGACGTCCAGGGGCTCCGTGGGGGCCTCCGGCTCTTCAGACGCTGCCATCACGCAAAGCTACTTCGCCGGGTCTCGAAGCGCCTGGGCCTAAATGACCGCGAGCCTCGCAGAGCATGCTGGGGGTCGCGGTCCCGCAACCCCAATGCCTCATGGGAGATGTAGTGTTTCCCCCTCTCCTGCCACAAATGGCTTGTGAGGGCAAGGTCGCTCTCTGTTTTAAGCCAAATGCGTAACAAATGATACAAAACCATTAAGGTTAGTAAGTTTTATGATTTTTAAAAGCTGGTAATTTTTTTTAGCACTTTGCCTTTCTGATGTAGCTTCACTAAAGAATGCTTCCCAAAAATAATATGAAAAGAAATTTATATCAAAAGGTAGTAGAAATACAAAATTCCTACTCAGTGGAAAGGATAATGTAGTAATAAGAAATAATAGCCATATTGCACATGATATGTGCCTGATATTGTAAAAAGATAGCAAAATACAAAGTAAATTGGACAGGAAAAATGTCTTTTTAGTAGCTGAAATTTTACGTTGAAGGTTTGACATGTGGACCATTTTACAATAACAAAAAAAGTAGCAATTGGTTAAAGTAATGTGGGAGTTGTAATTTACAAAATTATGATCCTGAATCCTTTACACTTTCCAGAAACAGTTTGTGTTCTTGTATTTAACTGCTTGCTACTAAATATATGTTTTCAGCAGAATAAAAAACTTGCGTCTGGTCCTATGTTTTTATCATTGCATTGTGGTTTAGTGAGATCCATAATTTTCCTTGTTCATATGAACACGGAAGCGTCGATTTAATCTCATTCAGAATATTGTTAGTGTAAGTGCTTTAGTTGTCAAGTAAATATTCAGGATTGATGGTCATAGAATAACTTCTAATGGTTTGTAATCAAAGGGGGATTGTTGGTAATAGGCGAAGAGATGACAGAAGAGAATTATGTATTTCCTTCACCTGAAATGCCACCAGCAAGGAAGTAATTCCACTCATCACATACATATGATCAAGTTTATTACTGAATACTGTTACCAAGGTGATGGGAACAGACTTGCTCTGTTTGCAACTCGACCTTGAAAGGCAGTCTTCCACATGTTGTCATTTCCACTTGGGAAAGAAGCATTGCATGTTACCTATAAGGCTACCTAGCACCTATGAACGGCACTTCATGATTTTTAAAAAGTACTAGATATTCCTTCTCCTCATTTATAATAAGGCGCATGGGCCAACCTCTTTCACTTCAAATTTCGAAAGCAAAGGTGTATATCCTTTGAAGTTTAGGACCACAAATGTCTTGTGCCAGAGAAATCTTGTTTCAGAAAATTTAAACCCCGGTCTGTGCCCGGCCGGTGTGGCTCAGTGGTTGAGCGTCAACCCTTGAACCAGGAGGTCACAGGTTTAATTCCCAGTCAGAGCACATGCGTGGGTTGCAGACTTGATGCCTCTGTAGGTGAGCGTTGAGGAGTAGCGTGGAGACCGCTGTCTTGCCCACATCAGCCTCCAAGGAGACCTTGGCCAGCGTCTGCCTGCAGCGCCCGACCTCCCATCCATAGAACTCCTCCCCCGTGTAGGTTCCTTTCTCCCCAGAGATCTTTCAGAACCCCAGCCTTCCTGGTGGTGAAAAAAGTGGCAGACACACCTGTTCTATCACATTGCTTCCCTTCCTGATAAGGAGATGCCTGGGGCAGCCCGCACTTGGCGGAACAGGTGAGGAGGAGGGAAAGAAAATGCCACTGAATGTGCATTGAGCACCTCCGACATCCTCTAGCAGTGCCCCCAAATCTCCATGCTAATGAGGATGTTCTGTCTCTAAGCTGTTCAGCATGCTGGCCGCCAGCCACATGCGACTATTGATTCCTTGGAATATGGCTAGTATGACGGAGGAACTGACTTTAAAATGTTAATTTATTTAAATTTGATTTAAATCGCCATGTATCGTTAGTGGCTACTGTATTGGGCAGCACATTTTTAGACACTATACTGAACAGCACATCGATTTCTTATTTAATCTTTGCAACAACTCCTCCAAGCACGCGCCGTTAGCCTGTTGCACAAGCTCTGGGAATGAGTGTGCAGGAATTCAGTGATTTTTTTCATGTGTCACACGTGTGTGAGGGGCAGAATGGGATTTGGGCCCGCGCTCAGCCACGTGCAGACACTGCCTTTCTCCCAGCTGCCGAGGAGGAAGTAAAGGGGCGCAAATTATGACGTTAAAAAAGACACCCAGGATTTCATCTTGTTTGAAAGTATAGTCACTTATGTAGTGAGGGGCATTACATAACTTGAGAGTTGTTTTTTTTGTTGTTGTTGTTGTTTTTTTAAATATTTAACAGTCTGTGCCCTTGGGCTTTGAGAATAACAATCGGGTTAATTAGTCCACTTCAAAAGAAATTTTTTTCCTTTTAAAAAAAAATTAGCGAAAGAGATTACTGGATGAATATAAATTAGCAATATAAACAAAATTCTTTTCAAAAAAATTCTTTATTGTTGAAAGTATTACATGTGCCCTCCTTTCCCCCCATTGACCTCTCTTGAAAGGACAGACTGTGTCCCTGACCCCTCTTCAAGAAAAAACCACAGAATGTGTCAGTTACCCAGCCCTGCCCTTAAATCAGCCAATGGGAATGCAAGGGGAACTAACCCAAGGCCAAGAGTATGCTGACCACCCCCTGTCTTTGTGTAACCAGACCCTAGCCACACCCTGCCTTTGCATCATCAGCCCCTAGCCCTCACCCAGCCAATTAGAATGCCCCCACCTCCCGACCCCAAGCCCTATAAAATCTTTGTTCTCTTGGGACTCTTCGCATGCTGCCGCTGCGTCGGTAGGGACAGAGAGACCGGGCTCGAGTTTGAATAAAGGCTCTTTGCTTTTGCATCGGACTCGGCTCCCTGGTGGTCTTTGGGGATCTTAAAATCTGGGCATAACACTCTCAGCCCGCTCCTGCCCCCCAGCCCAGGCCTTCACCCCCCCCTATTTTCCGTGTCCATTGGTTATCTTGATCTCATTGCTGGGTATTGTCTCGTGGCCTGGAACAGTCTGTTAGGCTCCGGGGTCTCTCTGCCTTGTGACAATCAGCTGTCATTACTATAATGACAGTATCTATCTATCTATCTATCTTAGGTATACTATATGTATAAAGTGTCCCCTCAAAAAATGTATACACCTTTAACAGCTGATAGCTCAATTGATATTTCTTTCTTTTCAGATTTAACCCATTGGAATAAATAATTATTCAAAGTGTGTATATGTTTTTTGGGGACACCCTGAATATCTGAAAGAGAGGGCTAAATAATAGGAATCTATTGCCTATATAATCCGGTCTTCAGGCGTGATAACAATGTAGAGAAAACCAACAATTTATGAACAGCCATAGAAGCAGTTTTTAATTCCTCTCTTCAATCCTTAGTTATTTTTAATCAGTAAATGGAAGCCACAAACTGCTCCATCCCCGGAGTCCTCGGGGGAAGCACAGTATGTGCTGCTTTTGAACCCGAAATGTGGGGTTAGAATCCGAGTGCTTGTCTCGAGAAACTGAAGAATGAAGTTGCGGACAAAAACGGCCAATTTCATTAAAGTTTATTGGGAGAAGCCAGTCCTGGAAAAGGTGTAGCTGAGGTTTCAGGAGCAGCCAGTGCCGGAGCTTCTTTCCATGACCATCCAAGCTGATGCAAGTCTGTGAGCGCAGGCGGGGAGGCTCCGTGGTCCTAAGCCGCCTGGGTGCCGGGCCCCAGGAACGCGGGTGGAGACAGCCTTGCTAGCTCTTGATTGGTCTTTTCAACGAATTCCGCCTTAGCAACATCCTTGGGATTGGTTTACAGGCCTTCCTGCCTTGGGATTGGTTATCTGCACGCTCCCTGTCTTAGTATTTTAAAGTTCACACCTCTCACAGGTGTCCTTCCTTCCCCACTCGTTGAGGTGCCTTAGTAACCACCTCGTTGGGTTCCCCGATTTTATCCACCCCCATAGTCCCCGTCTCCTCACTTTGATCTCTGGAACCTTTCAGCTTCAGGACGGAAGGCCAGAAGGTCATTCTTAGGGGCGAGCAAACGCTCTTTGCAAGAGTGGGAGGGAGTTTCCGGGGTGTTCTAAGGCTCACTGGCCCCCTCGGGGTTCTGCTGTGGTTACAGGTGACTAACGCATGACTGATGGGTGGCTGCCTGTCTTGCAGCCCTGGGTCCCCTCCTCCGACCCTGATTCTAGCGCTAACCCCCCACTCGGAAGTCTCGCCTCGCCTTTCATTCCGCCTCTCCCTTGCTGTCTTAACTTGCAGGGTTTTGAAGTGAACGGTTTTCAGGCCTCTCTGCTTGAGCAAAATTTCCGCCCAGAAGGTTAAAACTCAGGTTCGGGATTGACCTGTGGCTCCACTAGGCAAGCCTTGACCTTGATTTGCTTTGTTGCAGAGCTTGGACGTGGCCGGCCGCTGCACAGGAACCACTTCTCCTGAGATGAAACCGTGAGTTTTCTCATCCCCTCAGCAATTAATTACGTGTCCCCCGAAATGCAGATTAACCCATGGTAAATTGAGTGGGTTTTTGTTATTCGGTAAGTGAGGCGGGAAGCTTGGCTTGTGCTCGGAGACCCCAGATTCTGGAGGTGTTTGTTGCTGGCACTTGTGTCTCAATGGTCTGGCAGGGCCTGGTCGGGTGAGGCCACCATTTCTACTTCGCTCGGCTCCGAGTCTGGCCCTCTGCTCTGGGTCTGGCTCTCAAACACAAAGGGAAATACAAGGAGAGCGCCTTGGGGTGACAGCTGGGGAGAAAGAATCTTCTAGTCGACAGTGTCCTTGGAAACCGACCCCGAGGGGAATCACATGTAAGGCGTGGCCTTGACTTCGCGATGTCGATGCCTGGGGGGAGTTACACTTGTTCGTTGATCCTCATCTAAGGATATTTTTCCATCGATTTTTAGAGAGAGTGGAAGGGAGGGAGGGGAGAGAGAGAGAGAGAGAGAAACATTGATGTGAGAGAGAGACACATCAACTGGTTGCCTCCCACAGGTGCCCCAACCAGGGGAGGGGATCACACCCCCAACCCAGGATGTGCCCTTAACTGGGAATCAAACCAGTGACCATTGGTGTGCAGACTGATGC